TAACATTTCTCCACCTTTGCAGAGGGCGGCATTAGCGCACGCTCGCCCGATGGCACCGCTGCTTCCTTCAGCAAGGCCAACTTGGCTGCCTTGAGCCTGGCCAACTCGTCACTGATCTTTGAGCTCGCCTCCAATGAGATTGTCAAGTCACTCAACAGCATTACGCGTCGCAAGCGTCAGATCTTCAATCCTAATCAGAATGCCTTCAATCGCAATGAGCTGACAGATACGCTGCAAACCGTGGACATTAGTGCTTTGATTGGCGGCAATCAGCAGCCACTGGAGCAGTGCCCGGAGCCAACACAGCAATGTGATGCCAACTCGCCATTCCGCACGCTCTCCGGACGTTGCAATAATCTGCGCAATCCGAACTGGGGCAAATCGTTGACCACTTTCTCGCGTCTGCTGCCCGCCCAGTATGAGGACGGTATCTCGGCACCAAGGGTAACTGGCGTCACTGGCACACCGCTGCCCAATCCGCGCACCATTTCGACGACAATTCATCCGGATATCTCCAATTTGCACACACGCTATTCGCTGATGGTGATGCAGTTTGCACAGTTTGTGGATCACGATTTGACATTGACGCCCATTCACAAGGGTTTCCATGAGTCCATACCCAGCTGTCGGCCCTGCAATTCACGCCAGACCGTGCATCCCGAGTGCAATCCGTTCCCGGTACCCGCGGGCGATTTCTTCTATCCCGAGGTGAATGTGACGAGCGGCGATCGTTTGTGCTTCCCCTCGATGAGATCGCTGCCTGGCCAGCAGTCGCTTGGCCCGCGTGATCAAATCAATCAGAACACTCACTTCCTGGATGCCTCGATGGTGTACGGCGAAAATGTCTGCCTGTCGAATAAGCTGCGCGGTTTCTCGGGCCGCATGAACAGCACTGTGCATCCCGTGCGCGGCAAGGAACTGCTGCCCTTGAGTGCCACCCATCCCGAGTGCAAATCTCGTAACGGACTCTGCTTCATTGCCGGCGATGATCGCGCCTCCGAGCAGCCAGGCTTGACAGCCATTCACACGGCCTTCCTGCGCGAACACAATCGTTTGGTTGAGGGTCTGCGCGGTGTCAATCCCCACTGGAATGGCGAGCAGCTGTACCATCATGCCCGTCGCATTGTCAGCGCCCAGGTGCAGCATACCGTCTTCAATGAGTTCCTGCCCCGCATTCTTAGCTGGAATGCTGTCAATCTGTATGGCCTGAAGCTGCTGCCACAGGGCTATTACAAGGACTACAATCCGTCCTGCAGTCCAATTGTGTTCAACGAATTCGCTGCCGCTGCCTTCCGCATTGGTCACTCGCTGCTGCGTCCACATATTCCACGGCTGAGCATTCAGCATCAGCCCGTGGATCCGCCACTGCTGCTGCGCGATGGCTTCTTCCGCATGGATGTGCTGCTCCAACCTGGTATTATTGATGAGATACTGCGTGGTCTGGTGGCTACGCCCATGGAAACACTAGATCAGTTCATCACGGGCGAGGTGACGAATCATTTGTTTGAGGATCGCAAGATACCCTTCTCCGGCATTGATCTGATTGCTCTAAACATCCAGCGTGGTAAGTTGATGGCTTTTAACCCACTTAAATAGCCGCCTCTAATGTCCGTTTTATTGTTGACAGCTCGTGATCATGGCATTCCTTCGTACAACAACTATCGCGCTCTTTGCAACCTGAAGCGTGCCAGCACCTGGAGCGATCTGAGTCGCGAAATACCCACCGAAGTAATTAATCGCTTCCAGAAGGTCTATGCCAGCGTTGATGACATTGATCTATTCCCCGGCGCTATGACGGAGCGTCCGCTACAGGGCGGCCTCGTCGGACCAACACTGGCCTGCATCATTGGCATTCAGTTCAGGCAGCTGCGCAAATGCGATCGCTTCTGGTATGAGAATCAGAATCCCGAGGTTAAATTTACCGAGGCTCAGCTGGCTGAGTTGCGCAAGGTAACGCTCGCGAAGATTGTCTGTGAGAATCTGGAGATTCAGGGTGACATGCAGCGTGCCGCCTTCGATTTGCCCAGCAACTTCCTGTAAGCCGCACAGTAAATACTCCGTTGATGGCCAATGCTAATTCCATTGTTTCCACAGTAATCCCCGTGTACCCTGCCAGTCAATGCCACAAATCGATTTGAATGCCTGGCGCGAGAATGTTCAGGGCTGCCAAATTGGCAATCGCAATGTACGCGTTGGCGAATCCGCCTTCCCATCGCCCTGCACCAGTTGCGTGTGCTCCGCCGAAGGCGTAAGTTATACAAATAACCTACATAATAGAGTATCAGCTAAACATTTTCCCTCTCTCTCAATTACAGCCCCAGTGCGCTTCATTGCGCATCACCGACTGCGGCCAGCTGATTCGCCAATGGCCCAAGGAGGCCATTTTGCGGGATGAGGTGTGCAACTCGCAGTGCGGCATCTATTTGACCGGCCAGCAGGCAGCAGGCTTCAGTCCACAGCAGCGTCAGGGTCATGCTCCCTCGCGTGTCACTCGCTCGCGTAATCAGAACCTATTCAAGTTTCCCGACTTGACGCCGTTCATCGCATCCCTGTAGAAAGGGCAACCCGAGAAAGCAGGCTTTCGTACATGTTTTGTAAATAACTATTGCGTTCTTTACATTAGTTACTTTTTTTGTTCGCTTATCTAAAGACTTTTCCAATGCATCTACCCCTAAACTATACTTACTCTAACTGTTCTATGCGGCATCAACTCGTGCCCATCAAACTAGGAAGAAACCAACAAATTGCGTTACTCGCGTATCTTCGCGGATGAAAATTCTTGTTTCGGCACCACCAAAATAAGTGATTCTATTGTTAGTTAAGCGACAACTAATTAATTAGCATTTTTATATATGTATGTAATGTATTTTTTACCTAAAACCCTATGAATGTCAATTATTTGTACCTAATAAACAAACAATTAAAACAATATATATTTAAATGAATATCAATTTCAACCGTCTCTATTCGTTGCTTTCCTGTTAGTTTAGCAACAACAAATTGCAACTGAAAATGGCTGGCAACAAATATAAATTTCAACGAAAAAGGTAAACAGCCGTATTACCAGGCGAAGAGAAATCACAGTAGGTGTCTATTTGATTTTACGCAGCGACATTTTCTTCAAGCAAGCAGCAGCGAAATCACAAATCTACACAATGCAATATGTATACAGACGAAGTAATAGGCGAACAGAATGCAAAGCAAGTTGACATGTTAAAAATGATAAATAAAGCGCGGGGGCAGCGGGGACAAACGTCGGGCACTGTTTGAGTAGGCCGCAGCAGATGAGCAGGTAGCAAATCGCAATATGTAAACAGACGAAATACCAGGCGAACAGAATTTTAAGGCAGCTGACAGAAATGAATTTAAGCTGGCAATGTTGTTGCTGTCAACAGTCGATTGCTATTGGACGATGCCCTTATTAGCGTCTGTCTCCCTCACACTGCTGTTATGCCACTCATCAGAATGAGATCGCGTAAATGCAGTTATCAAAGTATATTTGGCAAGCTGCGTGTGCTGAGCAGCAGCCATCATTAATGTGCCGTTACAAAAAGTTGGAGGGAGACAGTAGCGTCCGTTGTGTTAGTAATGGCGACGTTCTACTTGAGCACTGTCAGCTGGACAGAAATAGAAGCAATAATTTTACATTTATTTTAATTTGTGTTAATTCTGTTTTTTTTTTTTTTTATGTAAAGTCATAAATAATTCTCTATTGTAGTTTATGATGTAGCGGAAAAGTATCATCTGTTTGAGCTGGCCGCACCAGACACGCAGGCAGACGAAATACCAGGCAAACAGAATTCTAAGGCAGCTGATAAAAGTGCATTAAAGCTGGCATTGTTGTTATTGGCCCCCATTGAGTGCGGTTGGAGGAATCGTAAGCGAAAGCAAAGCATGTCAACAAGCGAACAGAATGAGAAGCAGGTACACGAACTACTTGAGTAAACGAAAGTAAGCAAAAGCATGTTTTGTCTCTTTTTCGCTGCTGTTGTGTTCACCTTCAGAAAGAGAATTAATGTGCCGTTGCATGGAGTTAGGAATCAGCGTACAGTGGCGTCCGTTGCCATAGTCTTCCGTCTTCTGTTTGAGCACTGTCATGAACTGAAATAGAAGCAAAAATTTAATAATTGTTTCAATTTATATTCATAGCCATAGAATATTATACAAATTTTCTAGTTTGATTTTGTTAAATAAACTTTTAAGTGAAGTCTCATGTTATGTTTTTAACGTTGTCGTAAATTGTTTAAATAATTGTTTACTTTATTTAGTTTTGCTTTTTGAACGTGGTTCCATTATAGCAAATATAATTTGTGTATTTTAGATAAGATCTCTATAATGCCGACAATAAATAACAAAACTCACAAAGTACGATTAAATCTACCGAGGGGTTTACTATGCATATATGCATGTACTTTATAATATATATATATATGTATATATCTTTAATTTAACACATAGCTACGTTAGACACAGACCGTTAGACGTGCTCTAAGTTTAACGCAGGTGTTTAATGCTTTTATTAAGCGAAAATGAACAGAACTTTAAATTGATTTAACTTTTGCCATTTTGTGGTCTTTAGTCAGAAACATATACACACATGTGTGTATCGTATATATTATATATATATTATTATCGCATATCGTTTAAAATAGTTTAATTACATTTATTTAAATTCGAATAGAGCGCACAGACACAAAAAATACATAGCGCTTAGTATTTGTATTTGTTTCTTGTTTAGGTTGATATTTAAGCTGTTTGTTTATTGTTTAATAGGTTTAAGCTGTTGTGCTACTTGTGCTAACCACAGATAATTCAACTAATTGCCGCGAACTGCATCTGACAAATAGGCATGCAAAATACAATACTTTTCATGTGTTGTTGCTGCTGTTGTTGTTGCAGTTGTTGTTGTTAAAACAACAATAACAACAACAACAACAAAAGCGAACAGCACTTAGAACAATTAACTAATTTGCCTTTGCCTTGGTTTAATCTTTTTGTAATTTTTTTTTTTTTTTGGTACATATTGTGCTTAAGTTTCTAGGGAATTTGACTTCTTTGCTTTTAGGTTCTTTTCATATTTATCATATTTATATATATATAGTATAGTATATAGCATATGTTTGCACTAAACTAAAATTGAAGTTAAACACACAGCGTAGAGTGTCAAAATGATACGTAAGCATAACGTTTACACACTCGTATATATTTTTATATCTTTATATATATATATAGTTGCTTATATAGTTTATAGGAATCGGAATCTGGCTAATTAACGTTTTATGTTCAAATTGCCTGTGCCACAATTTGCTTATGCGTATGGTATGTGGTTTTATATGTTTTAATCTTTCTATTAATTGTATTATTATTGTTAGGTTTACAATAGATACTGTTGCTCAAATGTTGCGATTACAATTTGTTAATATATACAGAAAATGGGCGTGAGAAATGTCGTCTCCTATGTACAAATAATAATTCTTTGAATGACAGTCAAAGTTTGCGCTTATTTATCCGCTGCCAAAGCGGCGGGCAACCCACAATTCTGGGTCTCCGAGTGGCGACGCATCAGCAATGGTTGCTGCTGCTGTTGGGTTGGCAACTGTTGCTGCTGTGGATAGCTGTAGGGCAGCCCGTGACCATTAATGTATGGCAGCCCATCGAGTTGGCCAAGTTTGCCCACAATTTTTGGTATCTTATCACTGTCCGTGCCCGTGCCAATTAGGCCAATTAGGCCGCTGCCGCCAATGCTGGCGCTGCCAATACCGCCGCCAATAATGTGCTGCTGATGATTCTGATGATGATGATGATGGTGATGTTGGTGTTGATGGTGATGATGTTGGTGATGCTGTTGGTGATGATTGTGATTATGCTGATGGCTGATGGCCGGCGTGCTTTTGCATAGCGCCACATCCCTGTTGCAACTGCCGCCGTTCAGCTCCTGTGCGCCCTTCAGTGAGCTCGTCTTGCGGACGATGCGCGCCTGGTCGCAGCTTCGGCAGCGCGGCTTTGCCGTTGTCTTGCCCTGGCTGAGCGCCTGCAGATTGGCGGCGACCAGCTGTGCCTGCAGCGTCTTGGAAGGCGAAACGGGCGTGCTGTCATCCTCGCCAGTTGGTGGCGGCGTGGACAGGCGGCTCGAGACGGTGGAGGAGCTGCTCGAGGACAGGCAGCTGCTGCTGCGACTGCTGCTGCGGCTGCTGCTGTTGGCAGCGACATAGCCATTATCTGTCTGTGCCGCATCAGCATTCGTTGCAGTGCCATCATCATCATCATCATCATCAACATCATCTGCTTCGTCTGCATCACATGCATCACTGGGCGGGTTGCTGCTGGGACGAGAAGCGATGGCAATGTCGTTAGTAGTTGCGCTGCTTTTGCCCACATTCAGCCCATTTACGCTTGCTTCCTCGGCCACATCCGCATCATCATTGGCCAACTTATGCTCAGTTAATGCCAGCTGGCTGTCACCATTCGCTATCACAATTTGCTGCTGCTCCCGCTGCTGCTCAAGATCCTGACTAGTTTTGGTTTTCACATCGTCGGCCATGTCAATCCAGTGGCCGCGATTATCACGCACGCCCTCAACGAGCGGCTCCAGCTTTTCCGAGAGCTTTGCAAAGGCCTAAAGATTTTGAATTAATTAATTAATAATTTGCAATTAAATGCCGAATGTAAGCCTGACAACTCACCTCATAGATGGGCAGGCATATGGAATCAATAAAGTTCACCTGCATCATGGGCAGCTCATCCTCCTTCTCGCGATTCATGATATCCTGTGGAAAATGGAGAGCATATTAATATTTAGAAAATATCTCAATTTATGTTTCGACTCGAGACTCTTGAAGAAGTTTTGCAGTTCTAAAATAGCACTCACAATGGGCGTTATGTTCAGCTCCTGTTTCTCCATGTCGCCCTGTTCGAAGAACTCTGAGCTAACCAAATCGGCGACACGCTTCTCAATCTCCCACGGCTTGGTTATGGCCGACAAATCACAGACAGTCATGCTCATGGCACGCAGCAAGGCGCGCGGCTCCTCGTCAACCCAATAGCTCAATGGCTCCTGCACGCTCTCCAGGAACGGGCCACGTTTTCTGTTTAAGATGGTAGGGAGAAATTAGTAGAGAGATAGGAATCTGAATTGGGTTGAACTCACTTGAAATAGACAGCTAGATCCGTGGACAGAATAGCATCCTCGAGCACGCGTATAACTCGACAATAGTCATCTGACGAAAGATTGGCCAGAATCTGATTGCCGGGACTGTTGAGTATCATCAAGCACTGATCGAAATGATGATGCTCCATGGTGGATGTGGAGTAGAGCTGCGCCAGCGGCGAGGAGGCTCTGCAATAGAACAAATGGAGAGCATTAAAAATGGGTTCACTTTGTTACGCGTTTAACGTGGGCAACGACGCACTTGATCTGGAAGGAGTTGTTGGTCCCCCGATGATCGAGATCGTGGCACAGGCAGCCAATAATCAAGGCCAGGCATTCGATTTCGCCAAAGATCTTCCACCATTGCGTGGTCTACATATAATTGACAATTGATTAATTGAATTCATGAGAAACAGCCTCTCTTTGCGATTCTCACACTCACGGTTAAAATGGCAAACATCATTTGGGCCACATTGAAGGCGTGTCGCCAATTGTGATAGGTCACATTGCGATAGTTCTTCTTGACGCTCAGCAGCCAACGGCAGAGCACCTCGTAATCGATATGAAAACGCTCCACGAAATCGAGATCCAGAAACATGCGCAAACAGGCCTACAAATTGAAGAGGGCATTAGATAAGTGCATAGTCTTTTGAGTGTGCTATAACGTTTACCTTTAGCGTATCATCGTCCTCGAAGTGTATGTCATCAAATTTGAAATCATGCAGACGAAAATGTACAGCAGAGGGCACACGCAGGCGCTGTAAAGAGATGTACAAAGTGACAATGTAAATGATTAAATTGGTTTACGGCAGTTATCGATAGGTTTGTCTTTGGGTAATAAGGTTTAGTTGATTCCCTGGAAAATGGAAAGTAGGCCTAAGCTGCTTTTCGAGTATTACTTTAGCCTCAAATCTGATGTAGAGTGTGAAGTCTTTTTGGGGAAATTAAGTAAATATTCAGCTTTTACTTTAGTTAAAGTTAAAGCTGCGCTTTAATCCTAAAAACCTTAACTCTTCGTTGGAACAAGCCCAAACGGAAGCCGAGGGAAATAAAACACACACGGCACTGTCCACCCAGCTGCTGTCAGGAAATGTTAATTGATGTCCGCACAGCAGTTCATGATATACTCCCGGTTAGGCAAACACGCTGCCGGATCTGGCAAAGAAGCTGCGCAAAAGGGTTTTTTTTTGCGCTTTTGCTTCTTGCGCAATGGCATAATCGCCGGGTCTCTTCGGAAAAAGCAACGCGCAAAGAGTGGCATAATTTTAATTAAAATTAATAACCCCCAGCATCAGCGTCGTCCACGTTAACGTCGACGGTTGGCAAGGCGACAGACGGCCATAATTTTAGCCAGCATAATTACAGAAAGTGTGTGTTTGCAGGGCGAGGAGGGGGAGTGTGAGGCAAGGGGCGGCAACAGGCAAGCGACAAGAGACAATACACAAAGACAAACAGAGAGACAGATGCGAAAACTTGAACCAGCCCCAAAGTCTATGGGCTTATAGATAAGGAGAGTGGTGGTGGGAAGGGAGAGGGAGCGAGGGGGGGGGGGGCTGCACGGGTAGCGGGTGTTAAAATAGGGACTAGTATAACAAATGCTCTTAGCCAGTGTGCGAAAGTTTCTTTTTGTCATACTTGTGCGAACAAACTAATTACAACTGTCAACACGTTGGGCCCCAAACGGGTACGCCAGGGGTTGAGTGTGAGAGGTGGAGAGGGGAGGAGTAGTAGGGACGACTAAGTGAGTGACTGCGGGGACAGGTTGTTGCTGCTGTTGCTGCTGCTGCTGCTGTTTCTGCTGCTGTCACGCAGCAATAATAAAAAACATGGAAGCAGAAAAACAGACGGGCCAAGCAACAAGAATTTATGGACTGGCATAAAAATGAGTCCAATAAATGGAGCCGAGAGTCCTAGGCTGTGGCCCCAACCATTTCTACCATACAAATTAAGCGTGCACGCAAATAAAATTAAGCATTTAAATGCAATACCGCCCCTACCCAACTCCCCCTTTACACACCCCGTCACCAGGATAAAGCGTACGACACCCGAGGGTGCCATTTGAATTGTCAGCATTTAACTTACCCGCAGACGATGTGCCTCATCCATGGTGGCGGATGCATGATAGCTGAGCACCTCCAGGGTCACGCTCTGCTTGGCCATTGCCACAATCGCCTTCTCGTACATGTGCGTATTGTGTATGCCCATGCCGCAGAATATGGCAAATGCCTCCACGAAGTTCTCGTCGTTCTTGGTGAAGTCCTAAACAAACAAAAAATAAATGAGACATTAAAAATATATTGCACACATACTCTGAGTGCATCAAGTAGTGAAATTAAATTATTATTCTGAATAAATTTTAAATATCAAATGAATTGTTTGCCTCTTTATATAAAAGTGTTTGTCCTACTGACTTATTGCTTAAGCTGAAATTTACCTAGTTACCTTGTGTAATGAAGGGTTTACGGTGTTGGAAAACGTTTGTATGAAACTTTATTGTTTACCACCCGATCAATCTCAAGCTCATTTTCAAAGATCTTTGTTCAAATTTAGTTGAGGGGTGTTTCACATCGAAAACTGCATTCCTTTTAAGTTTGCATATATTATTCATGTTTGTACATACATGTATGCATGTTTGCTTATATATCTGCTAACATGCTTGTATGCATGCATGTACATACATATGTGCATACATGCATACATACATGCATACATGTTTGCATGTTTGTTTGTATATCTGCAAACATGCATGTATGCATGCATGCATGCATATTTATGTACATACATGCATACATACATACATACATACATACATACATACATACATACATTCATACATACATACATACATGCATACATGCATACATACATACATACATACATACATACATACATACATACATACATACATACATACATACCCACACACATACATACATACATACATTCATACATTCACACATTCATACATTCAAGAAACACAAAAAAAAAACACTACACACTCAGCCAAGCATGAAAAACTGCAGAGCCTACTTGAATTCTTGAGAATCGAGGAGGAGAGCACTTGGTAGAAATTCGTTTTACTTAAATTTGCAGCGTAACGACAAATAAGTTTGGTCTGCGTTTGGACTTATTTACATATATATACATACATGCATGCATACACTGACACACACACGTCCACACACACACACACACACATGAGAGAAGAGTGATAATTATCGAAATTAACAATTAAATCAAATAACTAAATAAACAAATCTAAAGATGAAAAAATGTTCGGATTTGAACCAGCGATCTCACGCTCGCCAGTGCGATGCTACGCAGGCCACTTTTATGGCTGTGTTGATGCTTTTAATGGACATTTTGGCCACAATTTTTGAGCCGACTTGGAAGTTGAACTTTTCAAGAATCCGTCTGAGAGCTCATTTTTGACCCAAAAGAAAGCTATTTAGTATACATTTCAGCCTTATCACGAGTCAGTCAGCCAGTCAGGACAAACTCTTTTATATATATACATAATTTATAGCTAGAAGTCACATCATAGTCAACAATAGAACTTATTATTTGTCAGTGTTATCTCAAAGACTTACCAGCTCATTAAACTTATTTATTAGCTGTATGACGCCAATGATCTGACCCAGCGAGTTCTTAATGGCCATGCAGAGTATGGAGCGATGCTTGAAGCTGGAATTCTCATCGACGCTCGCATCGAAGCGATCATCCTCGTAGGCGTTGGGCACATTGACCGTCTCGCCGGTGGTGGCCACATGGCCGGTGATGCCAATGTTGATCGGGAAACGCGACTCGTAGGGGCTGGTGCGTGAATTGGCCTCTTCCTCGCTCAGATCATTCGCCTCAAAGTCAAAGACACGCGAGAAGCTGCCCTTGTCCGCCTCGTGGACGAGCAGAATCTGAACGCGCTGGCACTGGATGAGACTCTGCATGTGGGTGAGTATGCGGAAGACCATGTGCTCAATGGTGCTCTGCTCCTCGAAGATCATGCGCGCCAAATCGAGCAGCACCTGATTCCGTTTAATTTCCAGCTGAGATTTCTCAAATAATTGCGCATTGCGCAGGCCAATGCCACAGAACTGCAGATACGAGGCGAAGACCTGTGTGTAAAGAAACGAATTAGTATTTTCGGGCATTAAGGATTATTATAAGCAGACATTCATCAGGAGCTGTTGTTGTTGCTGTCAGCACAGCACATGGCAATAAAAGACATGGGTGCGTTCTCGGGCGTGCCAGACTAGGAGTTACCTTTCTTAATATACACTATGAGAAATTCTGAAATAACATTGGTGTTCATAGTCCGAACTTAATGAAATTTGAAGGGAATACAAATTACTTTTAAGTGTGTGTCACTTAACTTGCCAAAGGGCAAGTTTCTAGCTTTTAATTTCATTTAGGGGTATATGGGCGAAGGTATCCAAAAAAATTAAATTTCTTTAATCTGTGTATGCTATACGAGTATCTACATGGCAAGATATATCGAAATATGTAATGAACTCTTGCTGTAATTATTGTGAAAAAATATATTTATAGTAATTTTCATATACTTATATGCCTGTTACAAGAAGTTGCCCAAAATGTGTATACCCCTTTTAACAATTTGATAATGGGTATAGAAGCACGAGCACACCGCGTGGCTGCCCGGGATAATCCCATGTGCTGACATTTCGCAAAGCTTTTGTACAACAACTTTTGCTCTTTGTTAAATAATAAATGCAATTTACATACGTCAGGCACTGTGACAGCAGCCACTTGACTGCCACACTTTACCACTTTTGCCAGTTTGCCGTGCTGAAACAAAGGACCCGCTGCATTTGGCAGCCAACTCACCTTTTCATCGATTTCCGAAAAGCATTCGCCATTCATTTTATTAATCACCTGCGCCACGCCAATCACATCGCCACCCGAATCCTTGATGGGCATACAGAGCAGCGCCTTGGTCCGATAGCCGGTCTGCGAATCAATCTCACAATTGAAACGCTCATCCTGAAAGGAAATTTATGTTTAATATATGTAGGATCTGAGTGAAGCGCCTTATATGGGATAGAATGAGCTGATGAGTTGAAAGGAACTGCAGCGAAAGGGTTAAGAAATAATTTGTAAGAAAATAAAATATCCTCCATGCAAAACTTGTCTATTTAAAATTAATGTTTCCAGTTATGAAAGTAAAGAGTTTTGGAAGCGAATGCTTCTCAAATAAAGAAGTTTGCCTTTAAGATTCTTTTTACAGACACCTTTGAAAGGAAAGCGTAACAGAAGAAGACGCCTTTCTAAATATAGCTTTATTTGGACAAATGTCTTTATTTATACACACGTCTAGACTAGTCATAGGAGGTATTCTGCTGTCAGTCTGGGAAGTGTTCTACGCATGCTTCTCTCTGCTTTCGGCTACTCCCATTTTGAGCTGTTAATTCTGGTATTTGTGTAGGTCATCATGTTTCTGGTCATGTTATTGTCGCTGACTTGCATATTTGTGTGATCATTTATTTGTGCTCGTACAAATGGTGTCATGCCCAGTCCAAATAACTCGTGCTAACTTCTCTCTTCCATAGTTTCGCCCTGCCCCCTGTTCGGAAATCTGTGCCCCTGCTATTCACACCAAATTGCGCAGAGTTATCAGCTTCTGCATGTCCGTCTATCTGTCTGCCAAATTCACTTAATTGTGCTAAAATGTTTTGATAAAAGAACTAACACACCCCGCCTCCCAAACCGTCCAGGAGGGGAGTTGGTGCGTGCGTCATATTTAGGTGCCAACTGTTTGTTGTAGACGATTGTTGGCCCGGCCTTAAGTTGACTTTAACAGCACAGATAAACGACACGAGCCAACTCAGGGGGCAGTTTTTATTTTTTAATTTTTATTGTTTGGCCCCGCAGCTTAAAGCCTTTAAAAAGGGGGGCGCTCACTTCTATCAGCAATGATATAATAAAACATTGCCCAACACCCGTAGCCTTGGCTAAAAATGTTGCCTTCAACTAGTCGTTGGCCGCAAGATTAATTACGGCCCAATTGGCTGAGCGGCTGAGAAAAATGCACACACAATTCGTTTTTCTTTCAGTGAGCAATATTGAAACTTCTCAAAAAAATGTATATAACTTTTGAAACGGCAGTGCTTGACTAGGAGATACGCTTTAGCTCAGGTGATAGAGCGCGCCTCAAGTTTCTCTCTGCTGGCTTTGGTAAAGAGTTATTCCAAGTAAATGTTTTGCTTATGAAATGTATGCTTATGAAAAGCACATGTCCTGATGATTCTAGCTGCTTACATAAAGTTTCTCTCTGCTTTTCAGTAGTGAAAAGCAGAGAGAGAGTAATATAATTTTTATGAAAAAATTGAAGGATATAGATGAAATCTATAGTCTTACGAAATTTCAAGTCATCTACTTGTTCATATATATACAATATCAAGTGTGCGCTTTAAGTTTCTCTCTCTATAAGAAAAGTTTTACAAGGAAATTGTAAGCTAAATAAGGGATTATTATACAATTTTGAATATATAAATATACCAAAGATGTACACATATATAAGAAATATAGAAGGCCATTAGCTGTGAGGTGCACACTTAAAGTTTCTCTCTCCAATAAAAAAGGTTGCTAAATAGCTTTTAAGTTAACTATGCAATTGTTATATAATATTGCGGAAATAAATGTAGCAAAGATGAAGACATATATTAAAAATATCCAAGGCGTTTAGCTGTCAAGTGCGCACATTAAGTTTCTCTCTGCTGCAGACTGTATAAAGTTTCTTGAATAACTTTGGTGTGTATCAATGGAAAGTTAAGCAATTTTCGGGATATATACTTGATGAGAGTATATAAGTATTGCCAGGGTAGTTATCTATGCGTACAGACATATATAGGTCTTTCATAAATGGAGAAAGAGAAACTTCTTCTGCCTGTTGCAGACATTTGCCCAATATACTGCTCATCATTCGAGCACGCCTGCAGGGTATTTACAAAACCAATATCCGGCACTTGAAACACTATCTTCAGTGTGGCATGTGTATAGGTTTTTGGTCTGAGTCCTGCGACCGCCTGGCACCATAAATCTTGCGAGTCTCGAATTTGCCATTGCTCTCGAGTGTTTGTTGCGCTTGATTTATGGTCAACGAGAAAATGGCATTCAAATTTGTCAATTCGATGCTAGCTGACGATGAGAGACTGTGCTGAAAACTTTCCATTTGGTTTGCTTGCATTGAACTGACCTGGTAAGCATCTGGTATATTGACCGGCTCGCCGCTCTCCGCCACGTGACCGGCAATGCCTGTGCCCCATGCAACGCGGACTTCCTCCTGCTGTTCCATTTCCTCGACTGTGCTGCGTGGGCAGACATCGAACAGCTTCGATACGAGGCATCTGCGAATATTTAAAGAGCTATTTAATATACTTTTAGATAATTAAATAAGTTAGATATATATTTATGTTATGTGTATATACATAAACAAGGCTTGCTCCTAGCGCCAATTCACCGAAAAAGGTTGCAATTAGTTGGGACTACAAAATGGCGCCACACAACACAAAATGGCCCCCTGCGGACTGTGTGTGTGTGTGTGTGTGTGTATTACAGTTATGAAGCCAAAACTGCAGCAGAGAAATCATAAAATGCCAAAAATAAATGCCATCAAAAATGTTGCACAGACAAAGTTGAAGCTGCTGCTGCGCAAAAAGTTGGCAGCTAAATGGCTCTGGGCCAATGAAGTCATCGCCGCTTTGGCAGTAACCGTAGCAGTAGCAGTAGCAGTAGCAGTAACAGTGGCAGTAACCGTAGCTGTAGCAGCACGGGCCAAAGCACTTGCCTGATTACCAAATTCAATTTGCACAGCTATTAGTGTTAAATTTCGTGTAGCCCTTAGACGCAGACGCAATGGGGCTAAATTGTAGTCTAACTGCAAGTAAAACAAGTTTTTATAGCCGCTTCATTTTATGACTTTAGTTTTCTTGTTTGAAAATTTGCTTCATATTATTTTAAACTAGCTCAGTTAGTGGGCCAGTTAAGCTCAAACATAATTAATCGACAAGCTTCGTTTGCAACTTGTACTTGAACAAGCAAATGCTTAAACTGTTTGCGAATTATAAGCAATTGTGTGAATTTTGCATTTGTGTTGCTTGTGCTTATTATAGCCAATTTACAACACTGTCTAAACCTGTTCATTTTCAACAGTTACCAACACTGTAAAATGGGATAAAATAGTTAATTAGATAATAATTACAGTAATTAAAATTGAATGCAAATATTTGCTGAATTCGAATAGAAAGTGAATGTATGAGTATAAGACATACTTAGATAATTCTCATAAAAAGATTATAAATATTTGTAAAATTTCAAATGTTTTGAAAATATATAAAACCTTTTTGCTATATTTAAATTTTGGAAAATGGATATTTAAATTGCATAAATTACTTTTTCAGCAACTAAAAAACTCTTTAACCCTTTATATATATTCACCTACTAGATTCTTTATTATTTATTTGTTGACTACTCACTTTTTGAGTCCATCGGCGCCATTGCAGCGTCCCTGCACCAGAAAGAGTGAGCCGCGATCCGCATTCAACAATATGGACACGTTCTGCAGGATCTTGTGGCACAAGGTGCGCACCTCCAGCTCGTTGCAAATGTCCTTTACCTGCAACATTGTTGGCAATTGAATATAGTCACAAAACGTTTTCAACTAATGCACGGAATTATGGGCAAAGTGTCGCATTAAAGTTAAAGTTCTCAATAAGTGGGGGGCTATTACGAGTGCACTTAATGTGGTTTCTTGTTAAACAAACAAGCCAATCAGCCGCACACAATAGCCCCACCGACTGACTGAGTGGGTGATTGATTGACTGAACAATTGATTGACTGATTGCGTGAATGACGTGTGCGACAATTTAGCACAGCGATGTTTGTATGGGTAGCCATGCCTCTATGCCTCTTAACTGTTTGCTGATAAAAACGTCAGCAGCTGCGGCAAATATGCGCATGTGTGCAAAATCAATTGGAACAACATGAAGAAATTATCGAACAGCAATTGACTGACTAGCAGTTACCCTACAGGCAGGGTATATGAGAGCTAATATGGCAAGTTGCATGTCTTCAGCTGGCAGCTATTATAAAGTGACAGACTAGAAGTTACCCTGCAGACAATGTGCAAAGGTTATATGAGAGCTAGTTTGCCATATATCAATATATAAAGTGATTGACTATCGGTTACCCTTCAGGCTATAGCTAAAATGCATAGATTGTCTAGCAGTTATCCTGGTTTCTGAGTTTGTACATTAAGAAATAACTAATAAGAGAAGGGTTATCCCGACCTTGTTCTACGCAAAGCCGCATTAAGCTCCATTTCTAATATAGGTCTTCTCATATGGAGCTTAGTTCAACCTTTCTTCAGATTTTGTTCAAAATGTTCCACATGAAAACAATTTAAAGTGCACAGGGTATTAGAAGTCGTGCACGTTAAATAGTCAATAGTCGTCAAGCACAAGTACAGGGTATCAAACTACGTGCAGCGTATTGTAGATGTTTATAGGAAAATGGCGCACAGGCGTTTTAACGACTCGAAATTGAAATTCGTAGGAAAATTGCATTAGGCGAGGCGTCGCTCATAAAGAAAAATTCGCGGTACAACGGGGCGTATGACGCATGTTAATTGAGAAATTTACAGAATTTGATGCATGTCTGATTAACAATAACAATAACATTAATAATAATAATTGGGAATTGAGAAATGAGTGTTAACAATTTGATTAAACAATACAAACCAGCTCGAAAATCAGCTCCTTCTCGTCCAGCTGCTTCAGCTCGTTGCGGGAGAGACGCTGCGGCCGTTGATGGCAATGATGATAGGGATACCATTGGGGATTGCCGCCGGGACTTGTGGCACCAATTGTTGCTGTTGTCGGGTTGCAATTGCTGCTGCTGCTGCCGACAGCGCCGCCAGCCTGATAATGACTGTGCTGATAATGCTGATGATTGTTGTGATGATGATGATGGTTGTGATTATGATGATGCTGCGGCTGATACTGATATTGGCCGGACATAACGCCGCCAACGTTCTGCAAATTGCTGCAACTGCCGCTCGTATTATCCAGCTGCGGTCCAATGCTCAGAAATGTGAGCGTCCCATCAATTGTATTCACAATGGGCTTGAGCAGGCCGCCGCGCTCAAACTCGTGCGCCGAAATTTTGCTGCAAAGGTCAACGAATATCTGGATTAAGCGAAATCTGTACTGGTGCAGGACTTTCTGTTGCACTTACCGTACGGGCGTTGTGGCGCCGGAGCCGCCACGTGAGCTGCTCGTCTGGCCATTGGGATGCGTGGGCGAGCTGCTGCTGATGACATCGTTGCCCGCACTGGTGGCATGCGAGACCAGCCAGGCGTCCACGGTCTGACGCGTCGCCTTCCTATCGAAGAGAGAGAAAGAGAGAGCGAGAGAGAGAGGGGAGGAGGGGTAGAGTGAGTGAGTTTTGCTGTCACAGTGCAAACATATTAAAATGCTATTAAGAATTAAGAGACTTTACCGCCACATGCGCGAGATTGTCTAATAAAATGCCAGCTCATAAATATTCAGCATGCGAAATATTTTTGCGTCATGCGGCCGGCAACTATCCTGCACTAGCTGACTGCCCCGCAAGGACACATGCGGCGGGCAACACGCGCTGGCGGCATAAAAATTCGAGCAATCACAGCTCCACAACTCTTTAGAGCATGAACTCAACTGAAAGACTGCACTATGGGTTCAATTGAAACTTTTTTGAAACTGTTCACGAAGTATTGCATTAGGTATCTGCCTAAAGTTAACTTGCATTTGTGAGCACTATTCATTTGAGCTGTGCAATGCCGGGTAATTTCCTACAGTATAACAATAAAATATAACACTCTCCATGATAAATTCTAAATATTTTCAAAAGGATCAGATAATCTTGCATTTCATTCAGAAACATTTTAATTATTCCGTTGAAGATTTAGACGAGCTGCAAATATCACAAGTCAAATTGTCAACTCAAATAAGTGATCTATCTGTTTAACAGCTGTTATCTTAACAGTTGCTGTTTCTGTTATCTTAACACGGCTTCTGATGTTATCTTAACAGCTGTTGGTGATGTTAATACTACAATGTATTATTTAATGTACTTTTAAGAAATGAGTTTCTGTCCGAAAAACGATCTCTTTAGCCCATAGTAGGATCGTCCAGTAGGCGGACGTTCAGAAAACTAGTTGGGAGCAGCGGCAGCTGGGGTAGCAGGGACTGTGAGTCCATGTGCTGACATATTCTTATGCAAAGTACACAAAATGAAGCCTTTTTCTGCCTCGTTTAATGCTGGCCACACGCCCAACGCCGGTGGCGGCGGCCAACAAACTGTGACCGAGGCGAGCCTCGTCTGTTGGCCATGAAAATAAAGCCCAATTTATGTTTTTAGTTGTTAGTGATTTTTATTATGTGTCATAGCCAAAGGCCGACAAACAGAATGTGCCTGGCACACACACACACACACACACACACACAACCATTTGTCTAGGACTATAGCTCCACCGCCCTTCGTTCCGGTCAATGTGTGTGTGTGTGTGTGAAAGTCAATTTCCGGTTTACGGCGGAAAAGGCCGGCCAGCCGCTTGGCTGCTCACAAATACGGCACAAAGTATGGCATTGGCATCAACACACAGGCACATGACAATGCAATTTAAACAATCCTTTGTGAGGGTCCTAAGCCAAACAAAGTATCATAACTTTAGATTTTCATATAATATTTGTTATAATAAAGTTGTCGCTAACCCAGAATTATAGCACAAAAACGATTAAGTGGGTTAAAAGCGCAAAAGCGTTGAGCGCATTTATCGATATACATTATTCGTGCTTAATTAACACTTTAGCTGCGTTTTAAAAGGATTAGCTATCGAAATCGATTGAAAATTTGATTGATTTATCAATTACTTTTTATCGTATATTGTCTAATATGTATTGTTTTTTCGAGTCCAAACGAAATGTTTCAGTATTCAAATAACCAGTATCTCGCTTGTATACTAAGAAGAAACGACAAAAAGACTTACAAGAATTTCTGTGCATATTTATATACATAAAAATATCGATAAGTTATCGATAACATTAGTATTTTATCGTCTCGTCTTTGGTTGCATTTTATAATGCATTTAAAATAAATTTGCCGAATGTAATTTTGACATTTTCTGACATTTATGTGCATATTTATATAAATATATCGATCACTTATCGATAACTTGAGTATTTGATCATGCTTAAGTCTGAATCTTCATAGCTTACCTTATGAAATAATCCTGTACAAACTCCTGATTCTCATCCAGCCATGCCTCCATGCGCGCATGCTCCGGATCATAGGGCCGGCTATGCTGTGGCGACGACGTCTGATGATAGGGATGCGAATAGCTCTGATATAGTTGCTGCTGTTGATGGTAAAACGGTTGCTGCTGCTGCTGCTGCGGCTGATAGACAGCCGCTGTGCTGGCAACATAGCTGCCGCCGGCGCCGCCGTTGATGTTGCTGCTGCCGTTGATGTTGCTGTTGCTGTTGCAATTGTTGCCGCTGCCGCTGCTGCTGCTGATGCTGTTGTTGTTGTACTGATAGTGGGCGGGTTGTGGCTGTTGCTGTGATAGCGGCAGGGGGACACCGGTGCGTTGTGTGGCAATCAGCAGGCTATGCTCGCCCATACCGTACCCTGTGCCCCCCTGCTCCGCGGGCTGTCGTGCCGCTAGCTGCAGCGGCGTCGATGCTGGCTCCTCAATGCTGCGCAAATGCAGGCCTGCAAAACGAACACAAAAAAAAAAAAACACACACACAATCAACATTTAATATCCAGCTTTAAATATTACGTTTTAAATTGTATTTGTTTTCTCATTTCAATTTTTTTTCTTTATACCATATTTAAACTTTTGCCCGTGCTGACAGCTTTTATGTGCGCGCGTCCCAATTCGATTGCACGACATTTGCATTGCAAATGGCCAACATATCCTTTAAACCCACTGCAAAGTCACGCGCCGCATACGACCCCCCAGCGCAGGCAGGGGGGATGGGATGGGCACAACCATCCCCTCCCCCCACCCTACAGCTACAACCCCTTTTCCCCAGTGTGCACAGTATGCAAATTCGCTGTTGCTTTCTGTTGAAAATTTATAATTTTAGTAGAGCAAAAGGAAAAAAAAATTGTTGAAGAAAATATTCTTTTTGCACATAAATTCCGGTTAAATTGCATTTCCAGCTCATCAATTTTGGCTGACTGTCTGTCTGGCACGTCTGTGTGACAATTAAGAGCATTTAATGCGCTTGCCACACGCTGCGTATACGTAATGGCCATAAATATCTCTGCGGCTCACACGGTTCAAGTGTGCCTTCAAGTCGCGATACAAACTGTGCCAAGAGCTTACATTTACTGGAAATATTGGCAATTTTCTGTGAAATATTGACACAGTGCTCAAGGCAGCGACGTCCCCCTCCTGCCACGCCCACTTCTGTTAGTCTGGCGCCCATTTGTATGCCGCCTGATTAAGTGCTAAAAATAGATATAAATACTTGTATCGCTGTGATGGATGTCTAAGGATATCAGCCCTCGAGTTTTCCATTCAACTGGAAATTGTGACTTCCCAACAATTTGGTGTGTGTGTGTGTGTGTGTGTGTGTGTGTGTGTGTGTATTTGTGTGTGTGCCCGGGTGTATAAATTTGATTTATGATCTACTTTTTGACGCTTAGCAACAAAATAAGTCAAACAACACAGCACACAACTTCCCCCACACACACACACACCCTCTACACACACAATCCAGTATAAAACGAGTTGCTCCTGTCAACTGATAATTTGACTCTCTCGGATAAGCTGACAAACTGTAGCATTTACAAATTGTTGACGTTGCCTGGGCAAACATTCTGGCTAGATTTATGAGCTTGACGATTTTCATTCAATTGCAGCCAAAATAGGTCACGCAACACCAGCTGTGCTTGTGAATTGTCTTTGAAGAGTTGCAAAACCAACTACAAGCTGTCTGCCGTAATAACAAATGAAATGCTGATAACAATAATTAGGAATAGTTATATTAATCTTAATTAGAAGTTAAGCAATGCTGTTTTAACGCCCATTAACATACACTGTTGCTGCTAACAACATAAAGCTGTTGGGCTGTACATTAACATACTCTATTGCTGTTGAGTTTACATTAACAGACTCTGTTGCTGTTAGCATTTACATTTCGTATGTGAAAAAAAGAATTTATCATAAAGTTCATATTTTAATACAGACTTTTCTTTAATACAGACTTTATTTGCATATTCCCAATTTATATATTATTTGTATTTATTGTATCAACAATCTCTTATGTTGTTTGTTTTTACAGTATTACTGGGAATGAAATCATTTTGATTTTTTCACAGAAGTAAAATATTGTATATATTTGCATTTTTCCATAATTTAAGCAAAAATATGAAATTTTCAGAACATTTAATTTCATGTTATCTGGAATTTTTGGCGAGCGTGTAAATTGTGAATTTTTCATATTTTTGCTGCTGCTGCTGCACTCGAATGCACTTCAAAGGATATTTTGTCTTTTGTGAATGCTTGAAATTGTAGCTTATCTGATGAATTTCCTTTGACATTTAATTTTCTTTTATATTTTTGGTAAATTTCTCTTTTTCTCTTCATTTTTTTTCTTCTGCTTCCTGCAGCTTAAGCTACATAAAGAAGCTTAAAGTCGGCCACTTAATGTTGAGAAATTTATGAGCAGCCACTGTAGGGTGAGGGGTTGGGGGGGTGCGGATAAAGAGACACGAGAGCAAGTGCTGCACTTACATGCCACATGAGCGCACCCCTGCCATTGCTGCTGCTGCTGCTGCTGCTGCTGCTCCTCATCTCATGCCACATTTAATCTTTTAAGCTGCATTTGCCTTGCTCAGGCAACACGCAACATGCTTAAGCTGCTGCAAAACATTTGGCAGCAGCAACACTCGAACCGAACCCCACGTGTCTCGCCCCCGTCACTTTTGCTACATCTTTGCCCACTCAAAGTCAAATGACAGCGTCATGGTGCACGAGTGGGCGCTACCACGCCCCCAGCCAAAGCAGCAGTAGCAGCAGCAGAGGCAACACAAACACCAGCACTCCCCTGGCATTGGCACTCTTTGCTGCGGTTTGACGATGCGTCAGCTTTATGTAAGACACATCCATCCCAGACCCCATGTTCCCATGTCTTCTCGGGCCCCATTCCGCCCAGCGTCTTGCATTGGCAAATTTTTACACAGCATTGCAAGGGAATTTCACTTTTAGCAGCAGCAAAAAAATATATACATATATCTCTAGGTATTTATATATGGGAGTTGCTCGACTCGCAGATACATGTGGCAATGTCATTCTGCTACGCATACTAAATGGATGTCAAGCAACTTGATGTAAGTTATATTCATATATAAGCTTTAAATCAGAAACTAAAGATGCCGTGATTAGCATAGAATATATTATATATAATGCTGGATTTGACGACCTTTCCATATTATAAATATTTGTTTGTCATCAGACCTCAAATATATATATACATACATCATTATGATATCAATTGAATCCTTTTTAATTAAATTTTTAACTCTTTTTATCTATGTAAAATTTGTATTTACTAGAAACTAAATCTATTTGGATATTCGAATAAGTTTTTCTTATAACTCAAGTTCCCAATTCATTTAATCTATATAAAAATCCGAGGGAATAAACCACATTACTGTTATAATAAAAAACCACATACTAAGGGATATGCTGACTATGTCAAGAAAAGTCTTCTAGAAATTTCCTATATTTTTTGTTTTTAATAAGAATAAGTTAGAGAGCATTGAATACCCTCTGTGTTATGCAGAGATTGTAGGGTATATGTGATATACGGACAAATATACACATGTTAAGTGTTGGTTTTTGTAGTTGAAGCCAAATGCAAATTGAAAGTTGGCAAATGTGCAAAAGAGAAGCATTTTTTGTTGCTTCCTCTTTGCTAGTCCCCGCCCCAACGCCCATCCTCACCCCCCAGCCCTCCTGCCATTCTAGCTGTTAGATGGCGCTGGGAGGGCATTAGATTGTTGGGGTTAGAACTTGAGAGACAAGCTGCTGCTGCTGTTGCTTTTGTTGTCATTTTTGTTGTTGCTGGTCTTCTTGTGTGTGACAAAATATTTTGTGGAAATTGTAACGCAGTCAAGTTTTTTGCCAAGTCATCTTGAGATGACTTTTCTCACCTGTTGTCTCCAGTTGCGGACTATGAGTTGGCGTTTGTTGCTGTTGTTGTTGTTGCTGCTGCTGCTGCTGCTGTTGTTGTTGTTGCTGTTGCTGTTGTTTGCTGTTCTTGTTCTTGTTTTTGTAGCGACAACCACGAAATCGACACATACTTGCCGCTTGGCCCATGGGGCCCGCCAGCAATGCGAATGTTAGACCCTCCGTCTTAATGAATTTAATTTTGTCAACTTTGAGCAGTTCCGCCGCGTAACGTAAGTTGTATTTGTTGTTGTTGTTGTTGTTGTTGTTATTGTTGTTGTTAGTTGTTGCAGTTGTTGTCTTTGTTGAGAACTCAATTTTGTTGGCTTTATTGTGGCCAAATGGCCGCCGAATGACAACAACAACAAAGTCTTGCAGAGTTTCGCTGTATTTTGTTGACTTTGGTATTGTTTATTGTTGTTGTTTGGCCTAAGAGCACTATTTTGCATTTGCATAATAACTGTTGTTGAATTTAATACAGCTTCGCAATTGTTTAAATTATATTTATTTGAATTTTCAACAAGTATCTGAGTTCAGAGTTTGAGCTGTTGCTTGCTTTTGCGAACACTCTCACGACCTGTTGGATAATTTTCGTAATGGAAAAACACTTTTTACTTCGTTTTCTATGCATCTATATTTTGTTGTTGTATTTTTTGTTTTTTTTTTTCTGCACATTTTCTTGCTGCATTTTCCATTTTGCAGCTTTAAGCTGCGGCTTTTGCCACGGGGCAATTCAATTAACACTTAAGCCGCAGCCCAAATGCATTGCAGACAGACGCCAATTGATAAACAAACAAAAGCCAAAAAGGTCCCATACAACCAGCTAAAAGTGGGCGACAAAGGGGGGGGGGGGGGGGGGAGGTTGAGGAGTGGTTGGGCGAGGGGGTGCGGGGGTTGTAGCTAGTTAGCGTGGGCGGCCACACGACTGGCAGACAATGCAGCCCACGTAGGCAGGCACCGAAATGTCAGTTAAATAAAATCAACATGGCCAACAAATGGCTCAGACCAAAACGACCAAATACACGTGCACACACATGTAAGCCAGAGAGCAAACAGAGAAGAGAAGGACACAAGGACACGACTAGGAGATACTCAGTAGAGTGCACAAATATTTGCAGATTACAAAATGAAATTTGCTCAGAAACAAAGAAGACCCTGCTCTGATTTTTGAGAAGAGCATAAAAGGAATAACAAAATAGCATCGAAAAACAAATAAGCGTCAGGTATATCCGACTAGATGATACCCTGTGCGCAGCACTAAGCTGGCCTAATCAAGACATTAGCTTGCTTCTATACATATATACAAACTCACACACACACACATATACCAGCACGCCGTATGCAGGGACTGTGCTTCTTCTTCCATTCGCTCCGTTCTATAAGAAAACATTCCAGACTAACTTGGGTGTTTATAGACCGATCTATTTAAAATTTACAGGGCTTAAATATGACATGGAAAAGTGTTTGCATACTTAAGCGCAAGAAGCTAGCTTTAAACATGAGTTTGATTTACAATCTGGGAGGGACG